TCAGATTTTGACATCAAATTTTGGGGTAAAAAAGTGTGTCTCATACACCGAAAAATACGGTACTTGATCCCAATTATGCAATTTAGGAAAAAAATAAATAATAACTCTTTGTAAATTATTTGCACCTTGTTTGATTTAATAATGTTAAACAAAATGTATCCACCAGAAAAATCCTATCTTCTTAGTTTATTGAGGTTTTTGAAGAAACACTACTTTTAGACCTAGATTAAAAAAGTAATGTTATAAAAACATTTTGAAGAATTGAGATAATGATTAAGCATTTTATTAATAGACAATTATATGATATAGAACATGCTTTTAACTATTTCCATATGATGGGGTCAAAGTGGGGTCAAAAAGGGGGAAAATGGGTCAAAAATAAATATATGTTTTAATGTTTACAACATTTCAGTCCAGGGTACCTTTCCTCTGGTAATTTTAAACTTTGGTTCCAATAAGTTCTAGTTTCTTAACTTCAAAGACAAATACTTAAAAATCTCAAACTTCATTTTTTCTGTGTCATATGATGCAAGTGAGCTTCAAATTCTCCATTTCAGAATTTTCTGAATTCTAATATATATATATAGTGTTGCTGTAATTTTCAACCAATCAGAAACACAAACTACAGATGATTAGAATTAAGAATTTAAAATTTGAGTTATCCAACTTCTTCATTTGCTGAGATACTAATAAATTTGTCAAACCTCCCCTGTCTCTGACTTTCAAGATTGTTTTCTAATCAATTTTACCCGGTTGATAGACATGTTTAACCAACACAAGGAATATGTTCTCCTCTATAACAAGGTTAAAACCGTCCTTTTGAATTATGTAAGGAAAGTATTCACTTGGTAGAAATATCTTGGCATGTAATCATGATTTTGTTTCTGTGTATGGTTTATCAATTTCTTTTTACCTAATTATAGCTTACTTAGAAGGCCAGATAAATTATAGTAATTTTGAGACAATGTATTCTAGTACCCAACATATTTTGTGTTCTAAAATGCAGAGGCTGGAGAGAGAACATCAAATATTTTCATTCAAATGCAAACAGCATGGATACACAGTAAGTACCAGAAAACTTTTTTTATGTTATATATTTTTGAACAAAATGAAAAGGTAAAAATCATAAACTTCGCCATTCAGACAAACAAAATGTCAGTAAAATAAAACATCTAAAATTACCCTGGCTCATGTGCCCTTGTAAGACATGACACTAGATCGCTTTAGTTCAACAAGAAACATCTGACATGATCCTGCTGCGATTTAATTATTGTTCCAGTAGCACAAAGTACAGGTGAAAGTGTTAAAATAAGTAACTTTCTGATCAATACTTCAGTTAGTGCAGAGGAAAAAAATGATATTATTCATTTTTAACTAATATTTTTAAACTTTCCATTTCACTGTACATTGATGGTTTCTTTACAGTTACTGTTAATGTAGAGAAAATAAAATATAAAATATTTAAGTTTTATAAAACAAACTTTTAATAGTCATTTAGGAGGTTCTAAAAGTTATGCAAATGAAATATGGAAACTATAAAATGAAAAGGAGTATTTTTATTTTTAGCACAAAATTATCTTTCACTCAGACTGACTTAGTAGAAGCATTGGAAATTCACAGATACGTTTTTAACAGAAATACTTTCTTAAACAAAATCTGTTTTTGTGTACAACAGACTTGTAATGTTTACTAAACGCTTGCCAAATTTCATAAAGATATACTTAGTAAATTCAGGGTTATAGTATGTATATTTTCACAGTTCTAAGGTTGGTCAATTTAACCAACTTCATTCCTATAGGATTATTAAAAAGTTCTTTGTCTTAGCACTCTGCTAGCTTTGTATTAATAGAAAACTATATTAGTTTGGTTTTTGGGTATAGGACTAATGTGCATAGTAGAATAACTATACACCACCTTTCACAAAGTTATGTATCTCAGTAGTCAGACATGGTTACTTCCTCTAGTGCTATGTTCCACTCGCATAAAACTATTTAGGTTTGGAGGGTTAAGAGCTTCCACAATTCAATAGAGTATGGCTATGATTGTCAGTGTGTAAGAACCAATTTTTAAGGTGATCATTTTGATTACTTAAGCTCAGAAAATGTGGATGATGTAAAAGTTTGTACTGATTTTAATGAAACATAGAGGTTGCTCCCAAGTAACATTTGACTTAAAAAACAACAAAAAACAGTTGGACAAGACATGCTAACCATGGACATAGAGGATTGTTTTTTACTGTTAAGTTCAAAGTTACACAATAGACTATCTGTGCTGTGCCCACTGTAGGTATTAAAACCCAATTTTTAGCATTATAAGCCCTCAGATTTACTGCTGAGCCACCAGGAGGATTCTTAATTAAAAATATTTAAAGTTTAATGGTAATTAACTAGCTCCCATTTAAACTAAAAATGTTCCAGCAGTGTGCTAAGCTTTGATCTCTTGAAAGTACACTAAAAAAATTTCACACAAGGACATTTTACTACCCTCCACCAAACTAAACAAATAAGACTATCACTGAAAAACACATATTTGTCAAAACACAATAGTGTTTTAGTATTGAAATGAAAATTTTCCCTTTAAATATCATAATTTTTTCTAGACAAAATAAAACTGTTAGGAAATTATTAGTTTGTTACAATAAAAGTACAAAGCAAGCTTTTACAAATCTGTATACTTACCCATCATTCCAAAGCACACGCAGATGTTCCCTGGTAACTTTCATGATTGCATAAAACCACTCCCAGAAAGTAAAATTTCTATCGGGAAGGGGTTCTTTACAAAATTGTGACCAGGTAATCATCATGTTACTAAAGTCTTGAATTTGTGAATCTGTCAAAAAAAAAAAAAACATTTTGGTGTATAATTTTAATGATGTTAACTAGAAAAATACAAAAGGTAAAAAGAAATATCTAAAAAATAATTTAATATACATATCTACCTGTTACAGTTCATAATGATGTTTTATAATTACTAATTGAAATAGAATATATAAAATTATTTTCATTCTCAATCACCATTTGTACCTACAAACACACAACTAAACATATTTTGAGTAGTTAACACTCCATTTCACATTTAGTTTACAGATGTGTAAAAGTAGAATGAAAAAACATACTGTACTGATATAGTATTTCCTGCCCAATACTCAAAATAGAGGTGATGTAAAAACCTTAAGATCAAGCTCACCATGCACGAATTGACTCCTGTTATTGCTAAAGAGCACTTAAGTGTGGAAGCACTTTATGCTAATATAACAGTAAATTGACAAACAATGATTTATAATCATAATGAAGTGGTATTAAATGGGGGGAACACACTATATCTTTTGACAGAACATTGTTCCCCAAAATAAAACCGCTTTATTAAATGCTTATAAATCGCTAGTGCATATTTTCAAAATAACTTTAAACTATTTCATTATATTTACTTTCTCCAAAGAAACAAAAAAAAACACATATTTACTATCTCAAATTGACAGTTACTGAAGTTTATTTTACAACTTTTATGTTACTGTATGTTTTTGAAGTCAATAACATAAATTACAATACTTTCATCCACTACAACAGCACTTTGACCCACAAATAATAAGAACTACTTCTTAAAGATTTTCATAAGTACTAGCAGATGGCACGATTGTATTTATTATTTCGATCACATAGATAAATAGATAAGCAGACAGCCATGCCATTGCTCCATTACAGTAAGATTTATCTTCAAAATAACGTTTATAGATTGCAATACCAGCTAAAAACAGATGTAAATAATGTGTTTCACACCAAAGCCTGAATAAGAAAAGATAATCAATGTGTGCCAAAAATTAACCAGAGGCCATTATGTATTATTCAAACTACTGATCATAAATAACATTCTTGATACAGATACCAGGAATGTCAGATTTGTAAATATGATTTTTTATATCTTGTTCTCACACACAAAGTGTAAAACACAAATGTTGAGATTATTGTGACAGTCATCTACATATACATTACACTTAGAAATGATTATAGTTTAAACAAATTAACTGCAAATCCTTTTCTTTCTCCCAAACAAACAGTTTCACTTACTCCGAAATCCTTTAGTCGCCAAATACTGCAAGTTCTCTGCTGAAAGGCCCTGTCCACAAGCAGCATGGAATTTCATGTTTAACACTTCTGCCATTTGAGGCCAAGGAACTTTGTCCGGTACAGCAAAGGGAACCCGACCCTGATATGAGTCAGACATTCTAGGTGGAATATATACCTACACACCACAGACAGAGTTATGGGTGGGGTTAGTGTTTAGGGGAAGAGGGAACAATGTCACCAGTACACCACCCTGCAGAAATCTCAAGCAGGCAGAATAGAAACCACTTTCCAAACATACCAGAACATGCAAATATGCATAAAACATAAAGTAAATGTAAGGAAGTTTAACTGATACATAAAATCAAAAGATAAAGAAGAATATTTCATCCTTTATTTAAAGACAAGTTAAGTCAGGTGCAAAGTTATACAGACTGAATTTTTCCAATAGTATGCTGCTTCTAACCTAGCAGTTTTTACAAAATAAAAACCTAATTTAAAATGAATGCTATTTGTAATTACAGACTCTAAAGTTTACAAGTGCTAAAACTAATTCCTGAGTTAACACTGCCTCAAGCTTACGTTTGAACTTCCCAAACAGCTTGTAAGCAAGCAATACCTGCCAGACCCTTTGCCATTATCGTGGGTGATTAAGAGTTTGTATACCTCAGCCCTTCCAAAATCCCTACATTCATGGACGACATACTGTATACTTGAAGATGGTGCTTATTCACACGTGAATACATTGAATATAGTGAAATTAAATGTTTTTCATTTATGATTTTCAACATTTTTTTTAAATCTAACTACTGAATATATGTTTTGCTCAACCCACGTATTTAAAAGATATTGAACCATCAAGTTTCTAATACTTCTGAATTGTCTCATGCACAGTAGCCTCCAGGAGTACCAAATACTTTACAAATCAATTTTCAACATTACCAACAGCCTGTAATTTCTTGAGATTTTTGTATCTTGCACTAACTTCAACATTTTAATTTATCTATCTGGTGAGTGTCTATATTTATACTGAGGGCCTTTGCAGAGTTTATGAGTAAGTTTTTTTAATATTCATAGATATTCTACATACTTGGAGCAAAGCAGTGTATACTACATATATATTTCAGGGTTTGATTGGAATGCAAACATCAACAGACACATTACGACATGAACAAACAAATGTTTGAGGAGGCATCAAGAAGTACATTTAATGCACCTAAAGACTGATCAATAGTTCATAAAGGGTGTTGTCCAATTACTGCATAACTTTTTACTGGCAACTTCAATGAAGCACCTCTATATTGAATCAGGTAAGTACGAGTTTTTTAATACATCCGGGTTACACCTAAATACACATGAATGGGAAAGTGATGATTAAGATTTTTCACATATACCAACATTATCTAAATCTTAAAACAAATGAAAAATCCACGATAGTTCATATACTAATGAGGTAACATTCAGTACATATCCTTGTTCTTTACACTGAAGTTATGTTAAAAACAATTATTCATGCATTCACAATGAAACAGCTAATATCTAAAATGGGAGTCAAATCACAGACAACACATCATATGTTTATAAATCTTAAAACAATAGAGGAAAGTGATCAACATCCTTCTACCATGCACAAGATACAGGGTTTAGCTACAATACAGCAATATCAAAGCCAGTTAATGACTGTGCAAGCTGAGAGCTCACTAGAGGTTAGTAGTAGATGGGGATAGTTCAGGAAGGAGGTGGAAACTTATCAGTAGCAATTTATAAAGAAATGGTAGGAAAGTATATGTATTATCAATAAAAATATTTGTACAAAAAATTATTTTTTTACAAAAAAAAAAGTCCAATAATTTGGCAGTGTAGTCCAGATAGAACCTTACCAAAAACTAATTAACTAAATTCTTTAATGAAATTTTAATCAATGTAATTAAAATTACTACTTTATAATTTTCATTATCATGTGATCCCTTTCCAAAGCAAACAAAAGCTCATCCTGCTACAAATTAAAATATTACAAAGGAAATATATATATATATATTAACTTCAAATATCTACAATTTATATGTGGTGTCCACTGTATCTAGGTCTTTATTAAAGAAAATTCAATGAAAAAAATCAGTAAGCTTTAACAACGAAACAGTTAGCAACTTTCAAATTCTACTCTTAAAAAAAGCTTATTATAATTTTTGTATTATGAAATATTTAACTTTTTCCAGTCAGTAGTTCCTAATAATGATGTTTTTTTCTGACATAAATTTCATACTAAAAAATTACCTAACAATACTTTTCTGATGTAGCAAAATTTTTTTATGCTATGTTAATAATTTTGAAAGCTAGATGAGCTGGTGTTTTTCCAAACAATTAACATGGGAGAGATCTGTAAATTATGGGGGAAAATACTGAAATGTTTAAGTATTTTAAACCTTCTACATCAGTTACTTATAGTGAAGGTTGTAACAATCAGATACAATCACCATCATGTTTTAGTACCACGTAAAATCATGTCAGTCTAATTATTAATTAGTTACCAGAGAAGTAGAGAACATACCAGCCTTTCTGTCATAAAAGACCCAAGGGTTGAATCCTGGTCACAACTGTATGCTAATTTTCATATTAAGCCTAACTAAGACCAGTTGATTGAAATGTTACTGAATAAAACAAGTTTTTACTACTTCAATTTATGTTTTTACAGTGATTTTATTACATTAATCTTCCAATATTGTGCAGTGTCCAATTATTTTCTACCAAAAATACCAGGATTGAATGCCAGACATGTATAACACACACAAGCCTTTCTATAGAGAAAACCCTGGCCACCACAGAAACAATCCTTCTCAGGACTTCCCTGAAAATGGCATCACATTAGCAGCCAGTATAGGATAAAAAAACTAATTATTAATTAGTACCTAATAAAAAAACATTATTAGCAATTAATTAATAATTAGAATCAGGTGATTGAACAGGCTACAAACTAAGACAAAGACTCCTACAAACAGTTGTCCAAAATTATGATATTAAACTTGTTTCTCTGTAGAAATATTTTATACTAACTAATTCTGTGAATTTTAGAATAACTGCTGTTTCATTATAAATAATGAAAGGTTATTAAAGAAAAAGTGATTTAACACCTTTGAAATGTGAATGCCAGAGTTTTGTATGAAACAAAAGTACAGACTGAAAGTTAAAAAATTAATACTGAAAAAAATTCACTTAAAAGAAACCACAAGCCAATAAAAAAATTTTCCTTTGCAAATAATATCCAATATGAAACTTACAGGTTCTGCAAATGCATTGTCCCAAGTGACTGTTGCCCAAGCATGTGGTTCTTGATTACCATGAACAATGACCACAACAGGAAGAGATAACGTCTAAAAAAATATATCAATATTCACATAATAATGAAACAAAAGATAATACAGTGTTAATAATATGTAAAATTATAATGAAGAACAATTAGCATGACCATACTTAGAATTATCTTCAAAGTCAGAGATAATTTTCAAAAATACATATTAAATAAATAAAGATGAGTATGAAAAAAAAAAAGGATAATCAAATTCATAATGCCTTCTTAAAGAATTATTCATATAAAAAATAAACAATTAAAAATTATGACAAATATTAAATAAACCTTCAAGGCATCATCATCTTTATATACGCATTTTAATATGCCTCAAAAAGTAAAGTAAAAATTAACTTGACCAAAACACTCCATAAACACTTTCCTGCTGAGTCTTCCAGATAAACATTTACAGTTTGTTTGTTGCTAAGTGCATAGCTCAACAATGGGCTATCTGTGCTGTTACAATTATGAGTATCGAAACCCAGTTTTTAGCAGTGAGCCCTCAGACTTACTGCTGAGCCACTGAGGGGCAAACACATACAGCAACTTCTTTCCTGCTTGGTGCTTCGAAATTAACAAATTATAGTTAATTATTTCTTGCCTCATCATATTTCACAGTAAAAAGAATAAGAATCTATAATTTGAGAAACAGGTTACATAACATAAAGAGAACATATTAAAATAATTAAACCAAATGAAAAAAAAATACTAACACCAAATAATTTTACTGCTACAAAACAAATAAATCAAAAATATGTAAAGTCTGTTTGTTTAAGAGCAAAGCCACATTGGGCTATCTACTGTGTCCACCAAGGGGGATTCGAACCCAGGATTTTGTGTTGTAAGTCCATAGACTTACCACTGTCCCATTGTGGGACAATATGTAAAGACTTTAAAATGGTAAGAAATGTTATTAATATGAGTAAATTCCAGAACACAAAAAGGTATAAGTAGCATAACAGCTCTTATAAGTTACATCTAAATTCATCAGATGCAAAAGTTACTTCCACAGCAATTCCAAATTATAAATCTGATTATTGGCATTACTGTATTCAATGTAATTGCAAACAATTTCAAGTTTTAAACATATAAAGAGAGTGTGTGTGCATTTTAGTGTTATTATTTAAATAATGTGCTTTAACATGCACCATCATTAAAACTTGTGCAATATTCTAATAGAATAAGGGGATTTAACAGTTATAATTCACCTGTGACCCTAAAATTTGATGCACGATTTCAACTTTTGGTAATAACAAAACATGAGCCACTGAACCTATGATGCACAGGTTAACCACATGTAGATTGAAAAACGAAAATAATAACCTAATGTACACTGCAAAGCCATAAAATTTCCAGTATAAAACCTGCTGAGAATTTCATTTTACAGAAATAGAAGACATAATAGCACAATATAATGACTATCATTTCACTCTTCCTCACTTTAAAAACCCAGTGTAAAAATTATGGAGTATTAAATCCTATGTAAAAGACTGAAACTCCTTAAACTAGACAATATTTAAATAAACCTGCCAATATTTATTTTTATTTAAATAAATAAAAATACTCTTTCAAATTATTCATATCCACAAAACTTCATTCAAGTTCAAGTCTTACACACAATTTTCTCTAGTGATTAATAATCTTTAAATAATGTGATACAAGATTAAATTCAAAGATTTTACAAAACATGCAACTTTATACAAAGCACACTTACCCATACTCTGAAAACCAGTTCTTCACCTCCTACCTTGAACTCGGATTGAAACAACAGCGAAAATTTCTCATCCATCACAGACTAAGAGAAAATTTAAAATTACTTTCTGATGCACTAAGTCGGCTCTTAGTTTCATCCATATATAAGAGACAATTGCGTGTAATAAAATTTAACATTTTCTTCTTTATGTTTTGTATTTAATATGAAACATAGTACAGAAATGGAGGTTTCTTTTTCCTAAGTAAGTTGAAATACTTAGTTTTTTTGTTATTGGAAAGAAGTTAATTTGTTAAAATTTTGTACCCCTCCATCTTTTATTTTCATTTAATTCTATTGGTTGAAATAAAAGCTTTAAATGATTTTCTTGTATGGCAGAATAAAAAGTAAAACATACTGTAAAACAAGTCTTACCTCAGTTCCTTTCTTTTCTGCTCTCTTAATTTTTCGAAGTTGCTAAAATAGAGAGAAAATCACGTGAAAAGAGGTAGATGAAAAGACAGCAATAAAAACCTAATATTCTTATGAATCAGTAAAACTTATTAATTGCGGACAGTAAATGTTTCTGTACTATATAATAATTAGGAAAATCTAAAATAAGAAACCAGTACCACGGACAAACTTACAATTATATTTAACCCTTTGAGTGTGTAATTAAATTTGGGGTGGGTTCTCGAAAAGTGTCAATTATCCACTAACAAATGAAGTTTAGAATTTGACCTTTTTTAGTACTTTTTCAATATCAAAATCCACTGGTTGCACTTTTGCTCAGTGATGTATGCACGCGCAGTACTAAGGTGGGAAATTCAAGGACGTGCGAGTATCCCAATTTTTTGTACCATGAGAAAAAGTTTTTGTGACACCATGGGTTAAATCCGCTTGTTGCACCAAATGGCTATAAATTTCAAGTCAGATAAATCCAATTATAGTTAATAAATATGAAGATTAGAACCATCGTAGTAAGTAAGGGAACAATGCTTATTACATTAATATATTACACCTTCAATACAGCACAGAATTAAGAGGCAATGTATTAGATTTCCCTTACTTACATATCTTATTGAAAAAGAATAAAAATATCTGTAATTGACATATACATGTTACACATGTTAAGCCTAATACTGTGCATCAGTATTTTTAGGTCTTTTATCAGATCATTTGACATATTCCATGTTCCATTTTAATATCATAATACTTATAACCACTTTACTTTCCATGGCATTAGTAACAGTTTTTTTTCTTCTTAAAATGTATGAGTTATAAAAGTACAGGTAAAGCAAACAAAAAAAGCTGTAAAAAATTATTTCTAAACTTCTTCACTTCACTAACAGCTGAAATATGTATGAGATATAACAGTTACTGTTTCAAGCATGCATGGAGAAAAATACATACACTACTTTAATAGTCAATACCGTTGAAATCCTTACAAAACTTATATTGCAATGCAAGTATAAACACTTGTGCTTTTCACATACTGCAATGAAACCTTGCAGTACGTGTCAAACCAACAATAAACTAATGACAAAATGGGCTTTCATTTAAAACTAAAACAAGGTTATAATAATGATAACAATCTACACCAATTGAAGATTGGAAGATTAATATAATAAAATCACTGTGGTTTCGCTAGATAGTAGATAGGGACAGTGGGAATCTTTCAAGTATTTTATATTTATATTACTTATAAAAGTTTCAATTAAATGCATTAACTTAATATAAAAAGGCATGGGTTTGGGGATTTCATGCTTTGTTCTTTAGCAGTGGTGTTCTTTTACACATTGATGAGTCATTAGCATAGTTTTATTTTACACTTATGAATAAAAATTAAATTATATAAGCTTATATCTGATTATACTAATTTCTTAATGAGAGTTCTCCTTAAAATGAAAAAAAATTGTCTGACACTAAATAGGTAGACAGTGACTATTCCTTTCAAGTATTTTTATATTTATATTACTTATAAAAGTTTCAATTAAATGTGTCCTTTTTTTTGAAAATCTTGTAAGATTCCAATAAAAATTGCAGTATATATCTTAAAGTTGGGTAAGTTATGGACCTTGTTTTAACCACATGTAGGATTTAATATGGTCAATATTTACAATTTGGAGGCCCTTAGTATATTTTGTAGTTAAGATTATTTAAAAATAATGTTCCAAGTCACCTCAAAAAATAAATGTACACTCAAGTAATATTGTTGGTCAATAACAAGAGTTACGGAGAAGAATCAAATTGTACTAAAATTATGTAAGACTGACTACCCTTTATAAAATACAATACCTAGAAATTAAGCCTACAAATCTTTATGAAACTGTACAGATATATAATTTTAAAATACAATGATTATACTTGTGGTTCCCAACCACCAGTCCACAAGATAGTTTTAAAAAGAACTGTGCATTTTAAAATATAGCTAATAAAGTATAGTTCTTTACAATGTAATTTAAAAGTACTTTAAAAAGATAATATTGTACAAAGCAGTCAATAAAATTTTGGAATCAAAATTAGCTGGTCCTTAGTTGGAAAAAAGGTTTGGAACCACTAGATTAAAGAAAGAGCTATATGAAATACTTTTTTTTTTTTTAGATATACAACTACAACATACTAATTTATGTAGTGATTATAAGCATCACTTGAGCTTTGGATAGAAAAGATAACAGAGCTTAATTCTGAAAAAACTCACCATATTTCTGAAACTGACACTGAGCTGCCGGGTAGCTTGGTGGTATTCCATAGTCCCTGTATTGTTTAATATTTCTCCACTTGCCTCACTGCACAGAATATGTAGAACAAATCAAACACTGATAGTTATCTTTATTTAATAAGTGCATTTCAATTTTAAGTAATTAAAAATATTGCAGTAAACCAGAATTACATTACTAATTTCAATAGTTTTATCTATTCATATACATAACTATTTATCTTGTTTTTACGTTTTAATGCAAAACTACATAATGGGCTATCTATATTATGTCTGCCACAGTAATCAAACCCAAAATTTGAGAGTTAACCCCTCACACTTACCTTAAAACAGTAATTACTAACAAAAATTACAATAGAGTGTATATCATTTACACTTCTTCCTTACTGCTTTCCTACAAGTATCTATCTACTAAATTATCATCTCAAATACACATCTATAAAATGTAACATTTATGAATAAAAATGAAATTATATAAGCTTATATCTGATTATACTAATTTCTTAACGAGAGTTCTCCTTAAAATGAAAAAAAAATTGTCTGACACTAAATAGGTAGACAGTGACTATTCCTTTCAAATATTTTTATATTTATATTACTTATAAAAGTTTCAATTAAATGCATTAACTTAATATAAAAAGGCATGGGTTTGGGGATTTCATGCTTTGTTCTTTAGCAGTGGTGTTCTTTTACACATTGATGAGTCATTAGCATAGTTTTATTTTACATCAATAACACTGAAGTGCAAGTCGATGAAAGTTTTGCTCTCACTGATGTCCCTCTGTGGCTCAGCAGTAAGTCTGAGGGCTTATAAAGCTAAAATTGGATCTCGATATATGAGGTTGGCAGAGTACAGACAGCCTATTGTATAGTTTTGTGCTAACAACAAAAACTTTCACACTGATACCCATATTTAAACTCTATACTCAAATATATAGTATGTTAATACCTGAAGTTTGTGTGCTTTATTAATGTGACAGTATAAAAAAATAAAAGTCATCCACAGCAATATACTAATAAAACATTATTTCAGTGCAAAACTCTTTACGGTGCATAAAAATTAAATGTGAAAAAACATACTGTACAATGAACAAAGTATTTCATATACAAACTTTTCACCAATTTCCGCATTCTGCAAAAGTTTCGCAATTGTTCAAGTAAATTACATGAAATTCAGGCTTCCTTACAAAAGAAGCAAAAAACTTGGAAACATGTTATCTTGAGTTGATTTAACAGCTAGAATTTTACACCAATGACTAATCTATAATACATTACTACATATTCATTAACATCTAAAATGTATAGAATATATTAAAAATATTCTTTGCATTATTCTTCTTAGATGTGAATGTTATGTTTATTGTATAGAACATATTAAAAATATTCTTTGCATTATTTTACAAACATAATAAGCTGCCTAAAATTTAAGAGCATTTTAACACTGAGATATTTTTGGCAATGATATTGGAGACATTTTTTTTTTCTTCATAAATGTTAACTAAATTTGCAGTGTTCACAGTAGAAGGTTCAAGACTGCACAAAAATGAGGAGTAAACATTTAAGTTCAAATGTTTGTTTTTCTTATAGCAAAGTCACAGCGAGCTATCTGCTGTGTCCACTTAGGGGGAATTGAACCCCTGATTTTAGCACTTTAAATCAGTAGACTTACCACTGTCCCAGCAGGGGACATTTAGGTTCAATTCCTGATGTTAAATACTTTAAAAGAAATTATATCACTTGTTACATATATTTGAATATATGTAAGTACAACTTTGTTAAAATGAGCTGCTTTTTGTACACTTTGCATACTTTGTTTTTTGTACATGTTGCACAATTTGATTTTTGTACGTGTTACATAATAATAATAATACATTACTATGCACCACAACTTTGTTAAAATGAGCTGCCTTTTGTAAACGTTGCAGTGGTTTGCTTTTTGTACACATTAAACAATCTTCAACATAGCAACCCAACACTTAAAATGAGCTGCTTTCTCCAATAAAATAAGGATTAAATTAATGAAAGGCACTGCTCTATTTTGAAAATACATTCAATTAAGAATTGTTTACTTTTGTTGAGACAATCATTTCTAATAATCAAGTCGTTATTACTACACAATTCAGTTACAGACATCTGATCTATCTAAAAAAAACACAGATCCATCAAAAAAAACTCATTATAATCCATCTCCTATTAGTATACTGAGAAGAATTCAATGTGCTTTCTTGAGATATGTGGTATTTATTCACACTGCAACAAGAACCACCAACTTACGTCATTCCCACTTTGTTTTTCAGGAGGGAATTTGCTTGTGCTTCACTATAATAGAAAAGAAGAATGAGAGAAAATTAAATTCATATGATTAACATATACTGATTCCTGAAATATAAACTACATATTAACATCAAAACAATAAATAATCATCATTGTAATGAAAACATAAACTTGATAAAGCAAGTTTTCACATTCTAATAATTTTTATTCACTTTCATATAGGTAATAAAGAGTACTTAGAAACAAAAGTGGGGATGAATATAGGATTTTGGCCAACTTAACAAAAAAAGTAAGAATATCTTGAGAAATATCACTATATGGAAACAAAACTCTGATGACTCCTGTTTTGGAAAGGGGTGGGGGACAACTCTTCCACCAGAATGTCAGGTTATAAGCCTAGCTGCAATAACACAAGTAATTCCTTAATTAAATGTTTATGAATAAATATATTGTTACTGTTTTAAAAACAATAATCATTATTCATGTTCTAAAATAACATTATTAATAATAACAATAATTCTAAGATATTAATCATAACAGCTATTAATATTCTTATTACTTGGTTATTTCATGATGTTGAGCCCCATCTGGTAAACAACTCTGGTAACCTCATCTTCCAATCATCAACACCCCTCCACTCCACGAAGGGAGATACCATTCCAGCTATCATTAATGGTATAGAATAATTATTGCTTATTTAAGAGCTTCACAAACAGAATAACAAATTCTACATATTCTACCTTTCCCTCTCTGGAAGGGGAGGGGATCCTGGTTCCCTGTATCTGCCCATGAAAATAATCTTTGGAACACCTAAACCAAACATTTTGGTTTCTTAACTTCTAGAGAATTAAAATACATTTCATTTATGAAGCAATCAATCAGTTTCACAAAATAAATACCTTATGATGGTGACTCTGACTTGTGGTGGGGTCATGTGAACATTAAGTTTACCTCCTACCAACAGTCTGACAGTAGCAGTAAACCTGGTGTTGGTCTTCATGACTTGAGGTGGCAATTTCTCAATAACAAAGGTGCTACAATATTAAAAAAACAAATAAAACAATGTGATAAAATACATACACTTACAAAAATACATTAAGCACATAAATCAATGTAACTGCAGAACCAGCCAAAATCTGATTGAACTTTCAAATATTTAAGGCTATGATAAAGCTGAATTTGGAACATTATGCCATATTTAAGGCTCTCTTTGAAGGATATATAAAACTACTACTGCTTTTGTAATATGCTAGATTGATTTTTCTTAAGTATATTGCAAAAGTATTTACATTAAAAACCTGAGAATTTTAACTAGTTATTCTTGTAAAAAGAACATTACAAAGAAATGAAATACAGATACCATGGAATAAAAGGGGTAAAATGGCAGAGGCCTCAAACTTCATATAATACCAGGTTTGATATTTTTTCCAAATCACACAAGTTTTCCTTATGTTATTTCCTAATGAATTTTTTTCAATATTTGTATTTATTTTTAATTAGTTTATAATATTTCATGACACAAATATACTTCTATATTTGCACTAACTGTTACAATAAAAATTGTCAAAATAAACTACACTACTGTATACAATCTTCAGGATCCAAGGTGACATAGAAAACAAACACTTTTACAAGCAACTTGGTTTATGCAGTCATTTAGGTTTCTTGCTTTAGTTTCACTAACTGTAATTTACTAACCAGAGAATGCACTATGGAAGATGTCACAAACTTACAACATGAGTGGCACCTGTGGCAAAACCCTCCCCAACATGCCAGTCATTTAGATAATATCCCATGTTGTGACAAACAGCATACATTTTGGTAGGAATTTACACACACATACAAAGTTATTAGCATTCATTTCATATCATTAATTCTTTCACTTAACCTTTAATGAATTTTAATTTAACCCCTCATTTAATTTATGTCTTACGACATTTATGGGGTGATTGTAAAAACTTATCTGATCAGTGCATGCTAAGCTTCTCTACAACATACCACTTTAGTTTAAAAAAGCATTTCCATATTACCTAAACATAAGGTAAGCTAGTTCTTATCACTATGTATGTATTGACTTCCACCCCAAAACAGCAAAATATTTACATCTCTGCTTTTAACTTTTCACTTATGAACATTATAAGAAGATAAAAAATTTTCAACTGTTATAAACACTTGAAATCAAAATGTTTTACATGAAATCGCAACATCCTGTCTTAAATCTTTATAGCACATAAATACTATGACTGTGCTCTTTCCATATGTTAGGAAACTAGAAAATATTTATTCAGATAATCTTCTAAATTTATAGTGAACGTTTTTGTGCTTGACCAAACTTTCTATGTATCCAGCTGTTTTAAGTATGCTTGAGGCAAGTCATACAAGAACTGGTTAAATAAGTTAATGGCTTTATACACATCAAAATACCAGTTATCAGTAGTTTTAGTTCACAAACATATTCGATTTTATTTTCATATTAAAGCATGAATTACAATAATAACAATGCCTTCTTATGTGATCTGCTAACAATGGAGTAAGCTTTTATATCTTCAGTGTTGTCATGGGAGAAGTTATATTTCATTGATCTACTAACAATGAAGTATCAATATCCCCAGTTTTGTCATGGAGAAGTCATTTCATCAAGCTTTTTTAATTAAAAAATGGTTTTACTTGTTTAAAATTGTTTGTATTTATTTTATTTCTACTTACTATGAAAGGTGTTTTACTGAACAACATGAAATAATTGTTTTTTGAATTGGTTAGAGCTTCACTAAACCATTCATCTTCAACAATAATCTTGCCATAAAAATTGAGATTACTGGAGAATTAGCCATGAAATTTGGCCATTGAGTGTAACAAATGGCTCCACCTACAACTTGTTACTGATAGAATTCTGTCTTGTAAACCTGCCTCTTTGTAGAGGTAAAAAAATAAGCACCCTCATTATAAGGCTATGAAAGCAATATTTATGATGCACTGCTGCCATCTGCTGTGAATGATAATTACCAAAGTACTCTAGATTAGGGGCTTAACTCTTTTGCTATGGGCTTGGTCAAATTGACTAAGTTCGGGACCTAAATTGACCTTTATAGTTTCCATACTATAACTCCTAATATGTTTTCTGCATCTTCATGAAATTTCAAAAGCTTTCAGTAATCATTCATAGTCATTTGTAGAAAAACAACAACAGAATTTTAATGATGTATTTTCATTAAAAATTTCTCCAAGAATATATGGAGTCAAAGTGTTGACTGCTCCGAGTGCAAAGTGGTTTTCATGTTAAGATTAAATATACTTTTCTTCATCTGAAAAATCTAAAATTTTATTTGTGTATTCTCTAAAACCTTCTACATAAATTTCAAACGGTCTATTTTTTCAGTAAAACTTTACATTTTATCTATTACTTTCACTCTGATAATTCTATATGAGGTTGGTCAATTTGAATGACCTTGTAACTAACAAAAAGAAATTTGAAATAAATTCTAATTAACTTTTTTTTTCTTTCTAGAATGACTTCAAATTGTAACATGAAACTACATTTGTGTATCGTAAATAGCTTCAAACTCTTACCAGTATACATCTATTTATACTTAAATTTTATTGTTTTATTACCCTTTGAACCATGTCTAACCAATATTCACACCATATAAGTTGTAAATCACTTGGCAAACATATAGCTCATGTTACCCTATTGAATTACATAACACACAGTAGCTACTCGTGAGCTGCTCATAACCATACCTTGTGAACAATTTTTATTGTTATTTATTTTACCAAATTTAACCTCTTTTTAACCTAAAAAGTTTTAAATTTTTACATTTTAGTTACTTTTATAATAATAAAGAAAACAAGAAATAAAGTACTTACCAGGGTCGTCTTTTTTTCCTTTTTTTTTTGCTGGTGACTGTTGATGACATTTAACCCTATCTTTTTATACTAATGGTACTAATGCAATAAATAATTTATTTAATTAAATAATGCACCAAAGAACACAGAATTATAACATGCAAAAAGCAGGCAATGTCCTATAACTATCATACTTTTTCTAGCTTTATGTAACTATGCAACAAGAGTCATTAAAAATTCAGCTAAGCTTGTTGAAGCAAAATAGACAATTCTCTGTACAGAAAACAATGTAGTATAATACATCATTTAATATATTAAAACCTTGGCTTTCTATTGGTTATAAGTAGAAAGCCAAGGATGTTACAAGTAAGCATGGCAAGAGAGGTCAGATTTTAGTCAGATTTTATAGCTCTGTAACCAAATAAGATTGAAAGCTTTAAAAATTATGCTTTGCCTGAGTGATAACAACATTACAATGAATAACTTACATTAAATTTAGTACTTCTTGGAGGGGTAGTAAATAAATTAGAGAGGAGGGGATACCTAGGGAGCAAATGTCACAATTCTCTTACTAGGGGAAGTTCTGTATTTTTTTAAATATTGCCTTATAAAAGTTAAAACTTACATAATAAAATTAAGATTATTAGCTATGTTTTTATGCAAAATTTATTGAACATAACCCACTAAAACCTGATGACATTTGCAGAAAATAAATGTCTGTAGCAAAAGTGTTGAAAAGAAACATTTTCATTAATGCTAACCTTTAAATGGATTCTTTGACAATAATCTTAAAAATTCAAATTTTTACAGTTATGCTGCAACTTACTAGTAAACCCAGTGAAACATTTTAGTAACTACCCATCTTGTTAGTTTGTCTAATGGTGAATATTGTGTAGCATCTAACATTCCATAAGTGAAAAAAGAAGTGACAATACACCTTTAAAACTTATGACATTAACTATAATCCCTGGATCATAACATCAGTAGATTGTATGTCAATGAAACAATGCTCAAACTATTAATATTCTAACAGCATAGTTCAGAAGCTTCTCATGAATTTATTAGCTTTGTTCAAGTATGTCATTCAGAAGTAACTAAAAGTAAACAATTCACCATATATATATTAGGCAGTAAAATAAACAGCTACACATTTTGATGCATAAGGAGACAGAAAACTGTAAGGTAGTTTAGTAACTGATACAGCTATACATCTGTATCAGGTTAATGTAATTTCAAGTCTCAATTAAAATATCTGTATACATTATAACATGTTCTGTATACTTCTTGTATACAAGACAGGTAAGAAAAAATGCTTCCACGCAAAAAACAAATTAGAATTTTAGAAAGCTTAGATTTCGATCCTAGATACTTTACCTTGTGACAAGTGATGAAAGTAGACCTGTGATATCTGAATTTAGGGATCTGAACCTTTCCAAAATGTTTCCCATCGGAGAATTAATAGGCAGCTGACTGCACAGCATTTCGACTCGTTTAATTTGTTGTCTGTTCTGCCATATGATTTCCACAAGTAATTCACACCTAAGTCATAGAAATGTGAATTAAGTTTCTTTAACCTACTACTTTCATTGCGAGTAGAGTATCCACTTTACACTGCTATGTTAAGTTGCAATCATATACTGAGAGAAAAGAAATGAAAAAATACTTAAAATAAATGTGTTTTGTTTTCTTAAATATACCTATATTTATAGTATGTTAAGTTTATAAAGAATATGTGTGACAATTTATATATAAACTAAACAACCACAAACATTAATCCTCAATACTTAGTACTTGGCTCTGCATGATGTTCAATTTTACACGTCAATAAATTCGAAAAAGTAATACTTTTTTTAATATTGTTGTACATTTTATAAACAATTATAAACATAAATATTTGTAAATTACCAAGCACATTATATAACTTTTCATTTTCTAACTGTTAACACTGATTTGGGGCCTATTTTTAACACTTCTTTGAGCTAGACAAATGAAAAGATATTAGAGATATAGTTTATCACTATGGTTAATCACTTTTGATTAGCTCAAAATACTAACAATCTACATCTTCAGCAGAAGTTTAATAACTAGAATGTTTCCTTACATTGATAATTGGATTAAAATTTATTCTTCCTCTACCTTACGACACTTTACAATTGTTTTACAAAAAAGAAGTTATTTCAATAATACACTTTCATCTGATATGAACAATATCAAACAACTATTATCATCAAAAGAGAAAAGTATAAGCTCACTTCAAACAGGCTTGATGTTGCTAAAGGAAAGGCCAAACTAACTATAATTTTGGGGATATGTTGAGAAAAAATACAAAAACCAATAAAACCAACATGGGAAATCAAATGGCATAATAATAACATAGCTTCAAAAACTAGGTTAGAGTTTACTATTGTATTAACACCTCATTTGAAACCATGTCAGCCTTTAACAAGAATTTCAACAATTTGCTTTATATAAACTAGCATACAAAGCCCAACACCTCATGATTCACAGAGGCCTAAGTACACCAATCAAACTCTTCCATTATCCCCCAATTACTTCTATAGCAACATCAAGAGAGAGTCGATACATGAAAATAAAATCATAAGGATGCCCACACATGATATCTGAACACATATTTCAAGTTTGGTCCTGCTAGTATGTGAGTGGGGAATATGAACACAGTTTGAAACAATGACCCCAAGACCCTGAAGGGAGTCAGGAACACAAAATCCAATACCAGATTTGGGTTCAGGATCCCTGAACACCTTCTCCCAAACCCCTATCACACCTGGGTAACCTTCTGAGCATGTTTCAACTCCATTTGGAAAGGAGGTTATGCCATGAAAAAAAATTCACAAATTCAACTAATAATTTCACTTAGTTAAATGGAACTACAGAACACAAAGTTATGCATGTAAAATCATCACCACAATCAAACAAGAAATCACTTAAAAATATAACAATAAACAGAGTAGAAACTTTGAAAGATATTTTCAGAATCTTAATAAAATAATTTTTTTCTACCTTATGCTACTTATTTGTTGGTTGTTTGTTTCAAATATTAGTTATAGAAGGGCTATTTGTGCTAACCACATCTAATTTTGAACTGACACATTCTAGAGGAAAGGCAACTAGTGGACAGCACCCACCAGTATTGGGCTACATTTATCAAACAGTAGTTTTTCACCATCACGTTTGTAATGAACTTATGGTCCCAAAGTGCTGAGTACATTTTTGCAGCAATGGAATGTCACCCTAGGACTTTCATGTTCACAGCATGGCACACTAACCACTTGGCAACACCTGCCCCATTCTTTATATTAAATCTAGTTCCAAAAAAAATTATTCTGAAGTTCTTTGGGAAGATGTAAGAGAGATTCATACAACCTTACCATTCTTGAATCTGATCCAGATTATTTTCAAATATAACACCATTCCCAGATAGCTGCTGGTTTCGTTTCCACTTAATGAGTTCATCATCCAAGACTCGGGTCTGTAGAGCATGAACTTGCATCAAGGTGTCTTGTTGTCTGTCAGCAAGGGCCTGAAACAAAAGGAAATTAATTTTTCATTATAAATCTACACTTAATAAAAGTATAACATAACTTAAAAATAGCTTAATCTGAATTGAGTAACCATCGATTTTCAGTTGAATATTCAGTTTGAATATATTTACAAATACATAGGGAAAATAATTTCTATTTTGAATAACAATGAGGATTGTGTTCAAATGTTTGCTCCAGAGCCAGGAATTTTTATAATGTTGCTGCACACATGAAAGAAGGGTAATATTCCAAAGCACTCATTGGTACATACAGTATAGTGGCTATATTGTTTCAATATCTACATTACAAAATATTTTAGTTGCCATTTCTCATATATACATATGCATTTGAAAAGGACTGCCTTAACCATTGGTGTAAGTCACTGTGTTCATGTCACAGGTTTTACTTGTGAACCTTGAGACGTTCTGTACCAACTTTCAAAGAATCTCAGACATAAAAGTTTACAATTTTTGAATAGTCCATATTAATATCACGCTGAGTATTAGAAGTTAAAAAAAAATCTTTTACACAAACTTTTCTACAATCTAACAGAAATTCAGTTAAAAGTAGCATAAAACTAAAAAGAATTATTAAATTTTATCAATACTGAGAGAAAAAAAAATATCAGTAAATATATAGAAAACTGACAAATACAAGATGAGCATGGTATTTTTTGAATGTTTAAACAGAAAGTAATGGGTAACACTAAGTTTCTGCATAAATTTCATTTTTATGAATACATTTAATAACTATTTTTATAACTTCTATGTATAATATAAGACCTTTTTCTGATAACTAACCAAAATACTGAACTCAACCTGCAAATAAGATTAGCACTTTAATATTATTAAGCTTGTTTCAGATATTCACACAAAGTTACACAAGGGCTATCTGTGCTAGTCATCTCTATTAACGAACTGACAAGACTAGAAAAAAGACAGCCAGTCAGTAGTACTGCCTACCATCAATACTTGGGCTGCTCTATTCAATTAGTGGGATTTGACATTCACTCTTATAACACAAAGTGTGCACCACAATTATGCATCAATGAACTTGAACCAAACCCTCAAATTCAGTCTGGCATGCTAATCACCAGGCTATGCCCTGTTAATGTTTCATAGCTTTAATGTATTATTAGAAAAGCTGAAGAGCGAAGACACCTATTCTTCTAAATATATGAAAGCATTTATTGAATGTGATGATTGTATATTTTCAAAACTTCATATATTTAGCAGAATAGGTGTCTTCTAAATAGGTGTCTTAAACAAGTAACTACAACAGTATGTCAAGATTATAAGAATTTTTAGAATATTGTGATAAGGCTACAAACAAAAGTATTGTTTCTAGTTGAGAAGGTATCTGAGCATTTTTGTAGCATTTATTGAATGTGCTGATTGTATATTTTCAAAACTCAAAAATGCTCAGATACCATCTCAACTAGAAACAATACTTTTGTTTGTAGCCCTTGTCACAATATTCTAAAAATTCTTATAATCTTGACATACTGTTGTAGTTACTTGTTTAAGCTAGTACAAATGTGGAAGAAAAAAAAAGACTGGGTGACTCAAATAACATGAATCACAAGAAATACGTCGAGCCCTCAAAGTAATTTACACTAATTGGAATTTATAATATTTTAGCTATGACAAAACAAAATCACTGTTACAAATCATCTCCCCTTAAAGTTATCTTTATGCAAATTAAGCATCTGAGAATCCATAGCAAAAGTTGAACTGAAAATAACTAGTTATTCAGCCTATGCTTGTAGCTGAATATTTGGTAGAGGTGGGTTTACATCTTTATTAGAAGTTCAGGCTATTTAATTCTACAGTATGTAGAAGTCAGTAAGTAGAGAAATGTTTATTCCTGCCCATATCATGTACATCATGATCTTATTCTGGTTCCAGGTTTTCTTTGAATAAATATAGGCTTGTATGAGTGCTTTACTTGTGACCAGTTCACTAGGTGTGCTCTTGGCAATAGTACAAATAAGCAATTTTATGCACGTTGCTGTGAGTGTAATATGCTACACTAGGTGTCTAGCAAACATGTTGACCTTGTGAAGTCTGGTTCTAAGCATCTGTTTAGTAATCAGCATCCAGCTGTGGCTATAACTATGCAATTTAATCTCCAAGCAGGTACCCTACAACTGCAGCAAGCCAGAATAACCAGGCAGTGCCGTAACCAAGTGTCTGAGCAACTGTACCACTGGTTTTAAAGAAAATTCATAATTTCCTATCAGCACTCCGAGACAGTTACAACCAATTCACAGCAGAAGCTTACTGTGACTGATTGGCTTCTATTAATTTGATGGCCAATATTATCTATAACATTTAAAAATTGCAATTACCCATTGTTTACTATAGCTTTTGTCATCAGTAAAATAGTACTCTCCATTGCAATAATGGAATATAGATTTCTAAATAACATTAAGGCTAGAAATTATCTTTAGCAAGTGTGCTCATTTCTAAATATAGAGAAAAAAAGCAAAAAAAACCTGTATATAAGAATTATTTGTCTGAAATACTTTAAGGTCTTTAATTTTGCACTTGAAGTCTACATTACATACACAATTTACTTTTTACTCTAAAACAAAGTTCAATTAATAATCAACAGATTGCAGCACCATCTTTATAACAACATTCCAAGCCCATAAAAAAACAAAATTTTCCTCCAAAGATCATAATTATAAATTTCACAAAGTTCATCATCTTATTACAATAACTAAACTACATAATTTCTTTGCTTCTGTGAACAAATTAATTTTATAAAGTCAAAAACCAATGTATTCATCAGGCACTAACCTGCCTCTGTTGAACCAGTGAAGTAGCTCGCTGACGTAAAGCATCGTCCAACAATTCCTTTTCTCTCTGTAGCTTACTAAGCATTTCTACATTATTGTGAGTATTGGGCTGGTTTGTTAACTGTTGAATCTGTGCTGTATGGTACCAAGGAAAAAACACAATAGAAGCATCATCATAATGTACATCAAATAATGAAAAATCTATAGTCTATATCAGGAATTCTCAAGCTGTGGATCATAACCTCTTGTTTACAAATGGTAAATTAAATTACAATTTGTGTATTTTTTTTAGTCTGAAAAGAAACTATGCATAAACTGTATTATCCCCTACTGTAGCAAGAATTTTACTCAATATATCTTTTCTTGATGCCTGAAAAAAAGGGGTTGCAAGTTGTTTCAGTCCATGAAAGGGAATGGTCATAAACGGTTTGAGCATCTTTTTGTCTAGTTGTAAATACTAGTTCACATGCAAGTCTATTTTATTGTCAAAAATAGTAATAAAAAAACTTGCAATCTTGGTACCATTATATTTCTTAGTTGATAAATTGGTAAAAAATCAAAATTTTAACAGAAAGTAGGGATTGTTGATTATTATGAGAATTGCTGTAAGTATCCAAAACAAAATAAATGCTGTAATAAAAAGTACACAAACAAGTAAAGTGATACTAGGTGAAAATATTTTAAAACTATTTTCAATCACTACTTTGTTGGCATTGTGATCCATGTAGTTAAATGAAGCAGTTTAAATTTGCCACTAAAGTAGGGATTGAAAATCATTTTAAAATCTATCCAACTAGTATGACTTTACTTGTTTGTGTACTTTTTATTGCAGCATTTATTTTGTGTTGGATACTTCTTATAGCAATTCTACAAATAACCAACGATTCCTACTTTTTATTAAAATTTTAATTTTTGTTCCCATTTATTTGTTCAGTTTTTACATATCCATGGAATAGACATTCCTTAATTCATTTTAAAATTTATAATTTTTGTAATACTCTTGTTTGTTTACTTTCTATATAAAGTATATATAGAAACTGTCTCGTGTCTATCCATCAATATGTAGCATCATCTGCTCGGTTGAAAAAATATTTAAGTATGTCCTTGATATGTTTACCATTTATATTATAACTGTACATTTATATATATATAAATTTTTTTATTGGAATATCAAAAGTGGATATTCACAAACCAGTCAAGTAGGCTGGAGAAATCTTGTAGCGATAGTCCGAGCCATCTAGGCACTAGCCCTGCTGACGTGATAAGGTTGGTAGGTATTAGATAAAAAAAAAGTTTCTGTTTTAGAACTTCTTGAATTGTTATACCAGAAATATTAGCAACCTTTTTAGATGGTCGTTTTTTTATTAGGAATTCAACAGCGTGATTTTTTGGCATGTGAATTATTTGGAATCCTTGTTGATCCCTACTATTAAGTACTACCATACTTAAAATAACTAACCAATATAAGAACAGTCAAAACTATGTTCCAAGTTGCTCAGGCTTTCAACAGATGGAGAGAGAGAGAGAGAAAACCAGCATATCCTAGTGCTGCGATTAAACCATGATTTAAAGCAAACTTTTTTCTTTTAATTACTGTGCACTATGCCACCTTGTATTCACTTGTAAAATCTTGTAAAAACATCTATGGCAAATACACAAAACTTTCAATGGGAAAGTAAAATAGCATAAACAATTACACAATTTACTTATGTGCTAGCAAAACACATTCAAATTGTGTAAAGAATGCCAAAAAACCTTATACTATGGAAATACAGAGGGTTGTTTAAATTAAAATAAATTTTAGAGCCTCACCACATTGTTGCAGTCCATTTCATGCTCATTGTTTAAATTAAAATAATTTTAGAGCCTCACCACATTGTCACTGACCTTTGTGTTTATGGATGATTTTCACCCGTCACAAGACAATGCACTTTGCTTACAATGGCTGGTTGGGGTACAACTTGTACATATCCCATTCTAAATACCTGGTTCCTCATGCTCCTTCATTTTCCTTTGTTTTCCAATGTTATTAGGTACAAAGGATATTCCCATTCTGTAAAGTCTGAATCTGAGCACATCTTTATGATCTGAGTGTGTGAGTAATTTATACTGGAAAAGGCTGTTACATACCTTTCTAAAGTTTATGAGTAATTTACATTGGAAAAATACCTTTCTAAAGCTTATGAGCAATTTACATTGGAAAAGGCTGTTACATACCTTTCCAAAAAAACAAACAATCAATTTTGGTGCATTACAATACGTACAAAATGATGAAGAATATCAAAATGTAGTCCTCGTATTTGTCATTCCATTTCAACTTTATATCGGCTGTGACTGTCACGTGACTACAGCTAGATGATTAGTGGTATTTGCTAATTCACTGATCAATAAGCACAGTGTTCATCAAACTGTGGTATGTGTACAAGCAAGAAAAATAAAGTTGCCTTCCCTCTAGTCAGCAGTTCAAAGTTAGTGAAAGTGGCAGATAGTCTTAGCAGATTTGCAACAACAAAGACAAGGTAAGTAAGTTTAGTAGGAATGGGAATCAAACCCAAGACCCTCAATCAGAACGTTCCACTTCATACATACAACCAATTTCAAATTTTCAGTCATTCATAGATATGTTTTCTTGATACTTTTTCTGCCAATCAAAGCAGATAACTTCCCACTGTAAAACATACAGTGTAACTGAAAAAGATTTACTTATAAACAATGACCTAATTTTCACTATGGTAACACCAGCTATCCTCTTCAGTCATGGCAACATATCACTTTGCCAATAATATTTTTGGCCAAGATCAATCCATATCTAATAATCATAGTTTGTTTTCAATAAACAAGTTCTTTCATTTGTGTGTTTGTCAGAAAACAACAGATTTTACATTCAATGAAAAAGAATTAGTGACATTTTAATAGTCAGAACATAGCTTACCTGACTCACTAAATCTTCTAAAAATCTTTACCTGATATCTCATCATAGAAGAATATTCCTTTAGCTTTGAAACAAACATAGTACAGAACCATAATCAAAGACTATAAGCAAAAAATCCAAAGTCTCTAAGTGATTAACCCCACCCAACCGGCCATTTGCAAAAGGGATAACTAACTTGAACATAGCAGTATTGAATTTAAATTACAAAGCATTGAAGATAAACACACCATTTTCTGATGTTTGCTGACCAGGAATGCAGAATGTCTTTCAGATGTCCAGCACACACCTCCACATTAAATTTAAAAATTTAAGTAAAAATTATAATTCTAACTATTTCTACAATTTGTTGCTCAAAAATATTTTAGAAGTGATATTTTGTCATATATTAATATTTATTTAGTATAATTTAAAAAGAACAATGAAAAATATTTTCAAACTTACATTTTTGCACAGCCTGTAAATAACATACTTATCAATGTTTTTTTCAATCAGAAAGGATAGGTCTTTTTATTTGCTAATAAGCTGTTACCCATTAAGAACATAGTTAGCCACGTCTTGTTTCTCACACAATTCCCCTTCCTGGTTTAAGGCTTCGTTATTAGAAATCTCTGTTCCATCTATTTATGATGTCACAACACGTGGTCTGAACAATAATTAGTGAAGCAAAGCTCTGAAAGTAACTACACGCAAAGCTTAAATGCCATTGGATAGAGCAGATTCTAAACTATTTACATCAATGTAGTGTGAATAGTGATTTGAATGGTAATTTATCCTGCAGGGATGAACAGAGGAACATAGTCAGAAGTTTAGAAGATGTTTAAGAACAGTTCACAGAACTGGAAATTTTTTTTATTGTTTATTTATCTTTTTTGATTCCTGAAAATGTTTTAATGTTAAATTAATCTGTCTGAAAGCTACAGAAACTTTCTTCTTTTTCAACAAGACATCAGGTAAGCTCAATTAGATTTAGCAAACACAGTTGATGACAGCAAAATATTCCAATGAATCAACTCCTTACTTATTGAATATAATAATTAAGCCTGTGTTAAAATAACACACAAATATTAGAACTTATTGTTTACTGAAAAAAAAAGTACTTATTAGATACCAATTAATCTTGACCAAGAATTTTGTTTGTAAAAATATTACTAAGTAGGTTAACAAAATTTCACAACATATGAAATGAGAGAAAAACTGAAACAGATTTGACTTTAAGCTGAAACTAGGAACTATTTAGTAAGTTTGTACTAGGTACCTTCAAGATAAAATTGCAAAGTCTCCTTTAGTGTAGATAAGTGTAGAAAGACAGAGGCAGTTGACTAATGGATGTAAAATGTGTCACACCATTGCCGTCTATCATCAAAGAGCATTTTCAACAGTTTATGTCACTAATATATTAAACACACTACTAATATACAAATCAGAAAAGAAAATTAGCAAATAAACAAAACCAGCTTCAAAAGAACAAAAATTTTGAAAATATTTTGATGAATTTTTTTTAAGTTCTTCAAATATCAAATGCAACTAACCTTGACGTTTAGCACTCTCCTGGTACTGTATCACAAAAGATTCTTGTTCTTGTTGCATACGCCGTACTTCTTCTTCGGTTTCCTTTATAAAACAGCAGCTCTATTAGTCGCTAAATCATTACTTAAAATTAACTCAAAGTTTGGTGATTTGTAAGATACATGTCTTCAGTGTGCCATTGAAGAAAATTCCCAAATTTATTAAACTGTACTAAACAATTTAAGTGTAAAAACTGCAAGAAAAGCTGCGTGAGATACTGAAATTGAGGTGAGTTTATGGAGAAATAAAAAATAACAATGCTATTATGCTCTTTAAAATTTTAATTTATCATGAAAATATTATATAAATACACACTTTTTAAATTTTCAACAAATTGCTAACACAGTGATGATTAGTTCTTCATAAACATATGTAAAAGGTTTTTTTAACATGAAAAAAACAAGTACAAAAGATAATCAAAAATGTTGGAGTACAAAACCAAACACATATATTACAGCCCCACCAAGAACAATATTACAAGCTTATTTTATGTAACTTCCTATAGACTTACTGTTCGAAATTTCCTATTTCAAGTGCATTTACCAACTTAGAATCATACAGTAATCTAACATACTTGTGTTTTCTTTTTTAGCTTATCCAAATGCTGGCTGATTTCCTGGTGTATGTGAGATATTCCCAATATTTGGTTCGGTACGTGAACACATGGCTACAAAAAAAATTTTTAACAAATTATACTCTACACACAGTATGTACAATTAGGTAAAGATATACATTAAAATGTTATCTTAAAAACTTTCTAACATTTCTCCAAATAGGGACTGCTACAATATGGAAAATAGGAGTTGTTAGACAATAAACAATTAATGATATTGGCTGAGTAGTGGCTGGGAATAACCAGGATGAGTGAAAGAAAGGCACTGTCACAACACAATACTGTCTGAAGTATTTCAAAAAAAGTAAAGTTAAATAAGTTTAGAAAACAAAACTTTTACAACTGAAGCTGCTATCATATTGGTTTCACAAAGAGAAACTGGGAGAATTCTAAAAGAAAAACATTATTATTAAAACTATGTAAAATAAATTCAATTAAATATACAAAACTTTTAAGAAATCATATACATAACAGCTTAAAGTATAAAAATGGAATACAGATGGGCACATAAGGGCCTTGCATATATACATTCTGCAAAATGAAACTGAATACTCACATTTTCAGCTAATTGAATAGCATTATGTTCAGCCTGCAGACAGTTTTTAATAACCTTTATAAGCTGTTGAGGATTACTGCTGTAGTGATCCTAAGAAATAGAGAAATAATATACTAGAGAATTTCACACATTCAACATAACTTGTATGCATATACTTATAAGATGTATACAGAAAAAATTTCAACATACTGGGTCAAATCATCATGGCCAGTTCCTCATAAAGAAATCTGTAACTAATGCTTTATTACTACAGCAATAATTTGAAAGTAAGATACATGATAAACCAAAACAATTTTAAAGTATCCTTTTTTAATATTAAGAAACTAATCAGAAGCTAAACAATAGCTAACTACATTAGATGAGTACTGCCCAGACTGAAGAATATAAACCACAGATTGAAAGACACAATATTTTATTAGAGAAATTTATCTATCTTGAGAGAAAATCATAACCATTCAAGTAAATGCATTTTAATTACAAGGTTGAGTAAAAGAATTTCTGCTCCTTAAAAACATGTAATTTAAAAAATGATCATTTAGACTCACAAATCTTTGAATTTACTGATTCAAAATTATAGTTAAAAGAAATCACAAATACCTCACAATTCTTCAAGTAAAGTGTACTAGATGAAACAAAATCCAATATTTATTACATCTTACTCTGAAATAAACAGCAGCTTCATCAAGCTTAAGTTTCATTATGAAATTTAAGTCCTCAGAACTTGCTTTCTTCTCCAACTCTTGAATTAAAGAAACAGCTAATCTAGCTGCATAATTTTCATGATTAGGGTTATCTGGATCTAATTCACTCCTAAAAATAAAAAAACAGAAATTTTAATGTGATCTCCATGTTTATTTTATCAATAAATACTTTGGTATATGCAAAATAAAAAAGTTGACATGTAAAGTGTTTACTGATATTTTAATATTACTGTTAAACTTTCTTGGTGTATGGTCTTCATTGGATTTCACTGGGAAGAAAACGTTTCCATGCCTGGCAGCACAATATAATTTTCCACAATTAGAGAACCAAATTCACCATTAAAAACTAAGTGAAAAGCAATAACAATACAAAGCAATCTCATAATATTACAGTTTGACTCTCTTTAATCATCTGGGTGTCCATACAGCTTCATTGATAAGGAATATTTCCATCACCTGGCAACAAAAGGTAATTTGAAAAACAAAACTTGTCACTAAAAATGTATTAAAAAATTCACAATACAACCTTTACTTTGCATAAAAGTATTGATTAAACTAAATATACATAACTTATTCACTGTTTTTTTTATTCCAATTATTTCAAGGCCTGAAGTTAAAAGAGGAAACTGTACATTTGAACATTATCTACAATGTGTGGAAAATATTACTAGGTTCAGGCAAAATAACAAAGATGTCTAGTCTGTTTCTAAGATGGCCAAGAAGTATTAGATTGATAATCTGAAGGTCTGGAGAACAAGTTTATGCTTCATATTTCCAATTTCATCAAACAACTTTTATATCCTATATCAATTAGTCATACACACTCTCACACACACAAATGTAAAAATATGTTAAAAATTTTAATAAAGAATCTATGAGAAGTGACGCATTCAAAAGTTACTAGTTCAACACAAATAGGAAAGTGTGTATATATATATAAACATACAAAAAGATAATTTGGATACAAAAAATTTACTAGATAATGGACTAGACAAGATTGGTTTATTTTTAAAGCCCATATAATATAGTACCATCTGGTCGTAAGTTCACATCTTATAAAATCACTGTGCACAATGTTTCTTTTTTTTAAATGCAATACATTGTTTATAATATAAGTAGTGTCTTACCATGGAGTTGATATATGCAGAAAAGCTTCCAAAGACTTACAAGTAGTTATAATATTATTTCATTATCTCAAGTTCACAAAAATATTACATCAAATTCTTAAAGTATACACTTAATTAATTCCCTTATTAAATGTTTCTTATTTTGGAGACTTTGTTTCCAGCATCAAACAGTAATAATAAAAATAAAAAAATGAAAAAAAAACCTTATACTACACCCTTCCTTACATTGAACTAAATAAACTTTATAGTCATACCATGGTTTGTCCTCTATCCATTGTGCCAGAACAAATCGAACCTCTAAGGGAAAGTGATCACCGTATACATTCTGTACTTGTTTCAAAGCCTCTCCTTGTAACTGTTGCAGCTTGGCCCACTGAGCCATTGAACTCTTCTTTCTGATTCCTTCTTAACACCTATATAATCAAAAATAAACATTACAGAGCATTTATACATAAATTCTTAACTACTGGAGTTAATAAATCTCTCTCTTATGAATGATACACAACCAAAACAAAATCACCTCAGCACTTCATACTTCCCAGATTAAACAGGTTCATGTATCTTGACATTTTGCCCTTGCCATTATATCTCAACATATTATAACAAGAATATAAAATTATTAAGTTTATGCTATCACGGTCTTCCACCTAGTAATTTAAATATCTCTAAAACTTGTATACATTCAAAGATATTTCTACTTTCAATATTGACAACAAATAAACTGTGATATCTAAATTACTTCACCCACAACATCACTATTTCACCAGTACACAACATTACTTTTTATGGAATAGGAAGAATTTCAACATGATTTGAAATTAATTATGGTTCTCATGAACTTGAAGCCCAAAGTGTGCAGTTCAGCCCTCTTGTAAGGATCTGAGGAAGTCACACATACATATTAGCAGGCTCAAAAATTAATATTCCAAGGCTACAATAAAATAATTATATTTAGCAGGTAATTTTCTTAATTAAGATGAGAATAATATATCAGCTATAGTTTCAAACATTTAAACAGTGATTGATAATTTAAAAATTTTGAAAGTGTATACATTTGATAGCATAAAAAATCAACAATATTGGTAAAAAGCAATTCATTCTAACCAAGAGGAGTGTAGAACTCCTAGTTCTTAACCCTTTCTGGCCTGGGAAAGTGTCACTGACATCTCAATTTTTTTCTTTCTCACAATAGAAATACTTAACCAAATTACACAAAACTTAGTAAAAACTTACTAAATATTATCTAGATTTGGCTTGAAAGAAATCACATAATTTGATTTACTTTTCCCATCATAGTCTAAACCGTGAAATTCTCAATATTGTTATGAAACATTTTTTAAATATAGAAATTGAAAAAGTTATTTTTTCTTTAATTTTCACATTTGTTACACAGATTTGCACTCAACACCTAAAAAGGTGCTCAACAAATCAGACAGGGCTAAGACCATCGCTCTACCTACTGAGCAACTGAGCTGAACAATTAACTCAGTCAATATAATCCATTACCTATGTGCATTTATTACATCAATTAGTGTTACTTAAAATAACTCATTAACAGCAATTACGATTAAACCGATTAATGTCACAAAAGTAATCAAATCATTGAAATCAGTTTTCAGTTGCTATTGTTTTCAACTATTCTAACTATCATCATTATTTTCAATTAATTCCGGGTCAGTAACTTAATAAAATAGTGTCACAACTCATGAAAATAATCACAGTTAAATTACAATTTCCAATTATTACTAATTTTGAGTATTCCAACAATTCAAGTCTCATGTGAGAATAATCAATTAGTTGAATGTAACTGATTAATAAGCCTGACACTCAATTATCAAATTCTATTAACTGAACAAGCAGGACTTCGAGCCACAAAAAGGTAGTTCTCTATGCATTTTAGTAACATATAAAACTAGTCATAAGGCTTAATTTTCATGTAAGTTAGATTTTGCTAATATTATGTTTGAAGTTTAAAACTTCCAATGAATGAATATGTTTTTTTTATTTAACAATGAAAATAAAATGAAAACACAATGTTCATAGAAGTAATTTTCCAATAATGCTTGTTTAAATTATATTCTATATTTTATGAGAAGCTAAGTAACCACACACACCATTAAATTATTAATGGGGTCCATATGGACATCAGCTTTTTAACCACATTTTTCTAAATCATTTATGCACCAAATTGTTTACAGATCCATGTTTTTGATGGTTATGGTGTACCTAATAAAATACAAGTTACATAAAAAAATCAAAATGGAATGTAACATCATAATTCAAATGAAGTATAAAATGATTAAAGCAAGCTTTAAGAAAAAAATCAGAGTTGTAAATGTAGCAGAAGTTGTTCACAAAAATCTTTTCTTCTGGCAATGTATAACAAAGCTAAGCTTTTATCATTTGGTTTCAATCTCTATTCAAATCTTTCTTAAACTTGAAGCCACACTGGAATATATAGCTGAAAAGAGCTGAAAAAAAAAGACCTTTCCTTATGTGTGTAGTAGACTTGCTTATGACTTCTCAAAGCTACAGGAAATTACGTCACACCATGAGGTTAAGAAACTGGTGACCTAAAATTTAGAAAACCACACTTGTATTCAAGTTAGAAGATAAAATTAGCACTGTTTTGTTCAAAACTATTATGACTTTCTTCTAAGGTGACTAGAGTGCTGTATTATGCTCAGACAAAAAATCTACGAAATCAACCCAAAACCAAAATGTTTTATGATATATATTTTTATGTATAAAATTAAAAAATATAACTTTTTTTTGTTTAATAAATTTCAACTTTTAAATGTTTATTTTATTTCACTGTGGAAGATTTTCTACAATTTTATAAAGTTCAATGATGAAATATTGCTCTATAGGGGAATGCACTAATCTGTGTGCTCTTTCATATAAATTTATACATAAAATATGCTTCAGGTGGGATCAGTGTATACAAAAGTGAATATGCTGCTTACTGTGGATGCATAAACAACGGACCTTTTTTCATATATTTTCAGTCAGTTCTAAATGTAAAAATGAACATGTAAAATTAAAAAAATATAACTTTTTTTTGTTTAATAAATTTTAACTTTTAAATGTTTATTTTATTTTACTGTGGAAGATTTTCTACAATT